ACCCATACGAGTATGTTGATTCTGATGCAAAGTTTTCAGAATGTCAGCTACCATCGATTGAAGCTTTTCGCAGTTCATTATCGGGAGAAGGTATAACCACGCTGGACTATGTACATGCAATACAAGTATGGCAATTGTTTAATATGCAGAGTCTCGGACAGTACCACGATTTATACGTTCTATCAGATGTCCTTGCATCAGCCCATGTCTTTGAAAATTTCAGAGAATTGACTATTATGGATTGGATGCTGCACATTTTTAAAAATCACCCGGTCTAGCATGACAGGCTGTCTTGAAAATGACACGTGTAAATTTAGAGTTACTCACAGACGTAGACATGTATTTGTTTGTAGAAAAAGACTTAAGATGGGGAATATCAATGATATCCCAGCGTCATGCCAAGGCTAACAATAAAGAAGTACCATATTACGACGAAAATCAACCAAATAGTCACGTGATGTACCTAGACGCAAACAACTTATATGGATGAACCATATCTTATCCAATTCCAGCTGAAGGTTTCAAATGGATAAACGATTGTGAAATTCAGAATCTACACGAAACTGACTTTGCAGCCAACAGGGAAAAAGGTTATATACTAGAAGTTGACCTGGAATATATTAAGGAAATGCACGATGACCACAACGAATATCCACTTGTTCCCGAAAAAAATTGATGGTTGCAAATGATATGTTATCGGCCTATGCGAAGAAGTTATTACACGATTAAACTAAAAAGGAACGTGCACAGAAAAATTGATACCAAATGTACATCCAAAGGTAAAGAACATATACAAAATTATAAAAATTTGAAACTATACTTATCACTTGGAATGAAACTAACAAAGATTCATAGAGTCATGGCATTTGAACAACGACTATGGCTAAAGAAATATGTCGATTTTAACACAGAGAAGAGAAAGCTTTCAAAAAAAAAAGAGTTTGAGAAGGATTTTTTTAAACTTATGAATAATGCAGTCTTTTGAAAAACAAAGGAAAATTTAAAGAAGAGAACATACTAGTATATAAAACTTTGATAAAATGCATTCTGCGATCTATTTACTTCTTTGCTTAACACTGATTTTCCAAGTCATCCATAGCGTGAACGGCAATCACAAAAAAATGCGATGTTCACAGTACGAAGTGCAGGCTAGAACTAACTACATAAAGCCGTTGCTTTACAACCTAATTTTTTGGCGCCAAAAATTCCTACGCCTACACTTACATGTATTCCACATGCGCAAGAAGACAATCAATTCCCGTTAAACTTATGTGCCTCGGGAATTTTGTATTCTATCGTTATTTTCAAATATTGTGTAATTCAATGAAACTAGATAACTTTCGAGTTCTATTGTCGTTTGTTACATTATTCCTCCCTTTCTACCAAAATGGCGTAAAGGTCAATTTTTTTATTTATGTTCAAACTCAAACGTAACAAGAGCCTATAACGCGACTGGCATACAAGTGAGGGGTTTAGCTAGCTATAACACCAGGTTTAATACACCAATTTCTCCATAAAGAAATATAAAAATAAGAGGTGGTATGAATGCCAATGAGATAATTCTCCACAATAGACCAAATGACACAGAATTTAACAATTATAGGTCACCGTACGGCCTTCAACAAATGCCTGTACCAAGTCAGGAATATGACAGATGTTTTCCATTCTTTTGATGTGTTTGAGCTTTTGATTATATCATTTGTTAAGGGACGTTCTTTTTTTAATTTTTCCTTGGAGTTCGGTATTTTTGTTATTTTACTTTTTACCACTTAAATTTGCGAATGTTATATTCGACATTCACTTGACATTCCCCAATACGATAAGTAAGCACAGTCTCTTTATGTTTTATGATGCAAAATAAAATCATTTTTGATAGCTTTTGTAAGGCGTAATTTTGTATTTATGGTTAGCGTATTCCTTATCCGCGTATATGACATGGTTCTCTGGGAAATTAAGTTGAAGTCCGTATCCTATTTTTTGCATCTAGTTGAATTGTTGAGCATTACTTTGGCTATAAAGGTAACACTGATTACAGATCTAATGTGTTGTCTTATAACCCCTGAGTATGAATACAGAGCATACGCCTGTGACGAAAATCAGTATTGTATGTGTTTCAATAGTAACCCGTCTATGTCTTATATACATAAGAGGGTAACTATAAGAAAAACAAATGCCACAATCTTGTCCAAGAACCTTCTGACGTAATGCACGGCATTGTGTCTCAATAGGTAACGACGTAATTTAAAGTTTTTCAAACAATAATCCAAGACGATTTTTTTTCTCTTTTGTTTCTTTTCTTTTGTTTGTGACCAAGATTGATATTTCTAAGTGCGTGTGTACAATAATAGAGTATGAAATGTAATAATTTAACGATTTCCCATTTATTTCCGCAAATAGGGAAGTTGCACCCAAATTTTATTTAAATGAAGCATAGGAGATTTATTTACATGTGAATATAGTTACACACGATTAATAATCAATGTTTCACAAATTTTATTAGTTGCATGGTAAATTAAATTTTGAGAGATAAGAATTGTCAGAAAATATTATCATATAATCATCTAATATAATAACAGATTTAATAATATCAATATCAATACAACAGTTTTGTTGTTATACTTTTAAGATCCACACATACATGTAGGAAACATTTTGCAGCACTATAACAAATTGCAATTTTACGCCAGATGATTTTGAAAAGCTATGGCATATCTTAATCCCATCATAAGAGAACCCTTTGCCAACTTTCGAAACTCTTCGATATCGAACAGCAAACGTCATATAAATACTGTGTTCGATTGTCTACATTGTTGCTGTTACTTTTAAGGGTATTAGTCATAGTTTGGTGTTATTCATAGTTTTGTTGACAAAGTCTAACGTTTGATTTTGACAGTTATTATGGACTTTTTACATTTTCCTTAAAGTACGATATTGTTGGTAATACTTTATTGCTTAAATCGTAACCACCATGTCTTTTTCAACATTGTTTTCGATAGGATCATTGTTAATACTGCATATGGGTTCATTTATATCAGAATTTGCGTAGCTTACAGTTTGAAGTATTTTAATGTTTTGTATTTCCAATAAATGGCGTTTTCTCACATTCGCTGATCATTCCATGCTTTTCTACTTCGTAGTTTATTTGACTTTGATAATGTTTTGGATTCGAGCGTCCAAAAAGTCTTTCGGGGACGAAACGCGCGTCTGACGCACAAAATATTAAGCCTGGTGTATCTGATGAGTTTTTTTGAAACATTCATTTACCACAAATGTAACACGATATGTCTCGGGCTAGACGATTCGTATCGGAGTGTGTGGATATAAATGGAATTTTTGTTAATTCTGGTACACTGGTTTCAAGTCTTAAGATAACTATGTTACTTATTTATCAATAAATTGTAATATAGCTTATTCAGATACATGTATGTTCATTTGTAAAATAGTTTATGTTATCTTCGTTTCTGTCATTTGGATATAACTTATTTGAGAATTTTATTTTGTTTCGTTCTCAAATCTTAGAACTGCAGATCAGGTTGAGCAATGCTTTTTATTTAAAAAGCATCTAAGAAATACAAACATACAATCACAGAAACATTAAATTGCTTCGACATTACAAAATGTTTAAATGACGAATTTGAAAGCCTTCGATTTGATATCAAAAAGAAATTACAATAGCCTCCGAACTCAAAATGTTCAAAACCCACAAAAATCGTTTAGTGGACAAATTGCAATTGTTAAAAATAAAGTTTCATTGAGTAAGCAAACTTTCTGGAAGTACGCAATCGTTAAAACCCAGTTAAAACAAAACAGAAAATATTACTTGGAAGTTTTGCTTACGAACACCGGCTTATTTGTTAAGGTGAGTAGACATTACAAATGAATAGGAATACTACATGTTGCAGGGTGTTTACGTTTGTTAAATATTTGCGTATGTATGTGGTAATTAGTTTAAAGGTACCAGCGAAACGTTGCTTTCAGTAAAGAAGACGGATTTTCAAATTTCCCAAAAAATACAAACTTCTGCTGAGCTAACAAGATCCATCCAATATCCTGGATAAATAAAATGAAGGAAAATGTCCATACGCTGTCAAAGGAATAGCATAATTCATTAAATCTATCTGCCCTGAACAGCTTCATTTGAGACTGTGTACACAATTTGGAAAGTTGAATGTGACCCAGGTCGCAAAGATTGCTGATAAAGATATAATGTATGCATTAGTACTATCTAAATCTGATCGATTTCAAACGGGGAAGGTTTAGATAAAAAATAGTTTAAGCTGCCATATATGTATGTGCCTATCTAATTCCTAAACTTTGTTAGTGTTTGTTTTCTGCCTATATATGTTTTGTCCTTTTAGGTGACGTGGCGTTGATGGCAGATATTTGAATTCAGTTATTTTTATTAAACATAGGAAAATATTGACTTTAAAGAATAAAACTTTCGCACGGAAACATACAAAAGGAAAATTTAAGAAATTCCAATTTTTCAAAACACTTTCCGTGTGTGTAAAAAATCAAGATTTTGTTTAATGTCCATGGTAAATGCATGCTAACTTTAAAGATGAATTTGAGAGGAAAAGCTTTACTCTGTGATATGTATTTAAACATTTTTATTGACTTTAAATATAACTTTTTTTCCAATTCTTATTAGTCCTTGTCACAACTGTATGTCCGTACTCAGAGGATCTAGTGCTGAGAAAAAGCGAAACTCCGGAATTAGTCCGTCACTAGTAACGACAAATTCTTAAATATAATTATTCCTCTTTTGCCGCCAACCGATAACTGTAGACTACAATAGGTACATTTTTCTATATTCAAATAATTATAATTTATGTTGTTCTTTTATCACAAATTTTTCTTTATCCTACAGCAAATTTTGTGGCGGATCAAATAACCACTGTCACTTTTTTCGGACGTCATTACTATTATACATGTGTATCGCGCAAAAGTGAATGTTAGATATGAAAATCCGCACCTATATTTTTGTGGATCTACAAAAACTAAGTTTTAATGAAAGCATCAAGTTCTTCCTGTTTATCATCAAAAATGTCATCTGTTTTTGATTGAAAAGCATTGTTTTGATGTTTGTCTTTTTGTTTAATCTTGTTTTGTTGAAAGCAGTTGAAAATATCAAATTTCTTATCAACTTTTTCATTTGTGAAAACGTAATCTGTGAGAAAAGAAACTGCTATGATTGTAATAAAACAACACATCATTGCAAATGTTTTATGCGGAAATAGCTGACCCGCTAACGGATCGTACCAAGGATATTTAATAACTGCTGGAAGTGATAAAACTGGTTCCCCACCAAGTATGCGTAAGAGCAGACCAACAACGAATCCTACTAAGGAACCATAACCGTTCGCCTTTTCAAACCATAATGCACATGTTAATTCCGGCATTTGGATCACATACATTGCGTCCACACATAAAATAAACAACCCATATACACTTTTTACAGCAATAGCGATAACTGCTCCCAATAATCCAGTCAATACAATGCTGATTCTGAGAACCCAAGTTAATTCCCGCTGAGATGCCTAGAATAAGAATATATTTACATGTCATTTGCAAATGAAAACCAATTTTTTCTACAATAAACTTCAAAATGTATTTGCGTAAAATAAGACAGCCTACAAACTGACATATACAGTTAAGTTCCGTTTAAAAGAAGTCGCCTATGGTATTTTGTTGTCATAAGGTTAAGTTAACAGTGTTTTTGTATGTTTGTTATATCGTCAGAAATTACGTCATTTCGTTTTTGTTAGAATACAGAAATACTCAACAAATAAATGTCTGGAGGGCCATGTTTCATTTGTCGCAGCAGTTTTATGGCATCCTTTCCTCTTTCATTAGATGTAATGACATATGATCTTTTAATAGAAATGTACCTTTCATGCGCAGCCAAACAACATAGTTTCTAGAGCCGTTGAGCTCACCTGCCTTTCTGATGCGGCTCTTGTAGCTTTTGGTTATTGTTTGAAAATTATTTTTGTGCCTCCGTTTTTTGTCTCAAGACGTTGTTGGTCTATCCAGCTGACAGGATATTGTGACTAAGTCTGGATTTGCTTTGCGGATGATTTTTATAGCGGGAATTACTTACCCTATAATGCTCCTCATTTTTTTTATCTATTTCTTTATATTCAACATTTATTAACATCTGTAAATACTGTTGCCTCTTATTTGACTTATGAATTTGGAGTCCCCCTCTTGTCTTTTTTCTTTCTTTGTACGAAATTTTGAAATGTCGTTCCGTTTACCTTTGGTCTGAAACAGTTTTTATATAAATTGTGGCTGATGACAGATCCAGCTGCCAGTACAATAGAATCTGCTGATGACATTACAGCAGCACTAACCGCCCCTAATCCAAAAACTGATACAACCATTGGACAAAGATATGCTAGCACCATAGGTAAAACATAACTCCATTCTTCTTGTGACAATTCTGGGTTTCCACTGTACATAGTTTGATTCCAGTCTACAATGAAAGAGGGTGTGGATGGAGTTTACATAATAGTGATTGATTTGATTTTGATTTTTGCTGTTTTAACGCCACTTTTAAGCACCGCTTTTGGGCTATTTCGTGGCGGCCAGTTTTTATTGGTGGAGGAAGCCCGAGTCGGGGATAAAACCACCGACCTTCGATAGGAAAACTGACAATCCTAGTCAATTAAGATTGGAGTCGAGTGCACCCGCACGAGCGGGGTTCGAACTCACAACCTCAGTGTTGACTTGCTAGTGATTACAGTTGTAACTACTTAGACCAGTCGGCCACCGAGGCCCCCTACATAATAGTGAATATTATGCAAAAAGAGCAGAATAAAGTATCGAAAACATAAAGAATAGAGAATAATAGGGTGCTAAAATATAAAGAATAATGAATAACAGGCACAATTTATAAAGAATAGTGAAAAATGGCCTCTAAAATTAAAGAATACAGAAATGAAGGACCCCATCCAGACCCTCATGTAATAACAAACAAACAACGTATTCGTAATGTGTTTTACAGTGCATAATGATAGCAGACTATTGGTATTCTAGCTGTTGACGTATTAAGAATAAACCATAAAGCACCAACTGTCAATTAACATAAAGCTACTAATCAGATGATGTTATCTCACTGAATATTTCAATGTTTGGTCACTGTGGTGATGAAATCTGTCCAATTAAATTTGAAATAAAGAATATCGCAGATACATCATGGTTTGCAATTTATTTGGACTTACGTTTAGCTGTGACGGGATTGCTTTCCCTTAGTACATGAGTAGATATTTAGCCAGTCGTAAGCAGTTTAGCTAGGGAAGTACTTCTTTAGATCAATAGGTGAGAGTGCTGCCTTGTAACATAGTGATCCTGGGTACGAATCCCGGAGGAAACAAAGTGATTTTCTTTTATAAACGATGCTACCCGGTTACATAGCAACTGACGATTACGGATAATGATTTTTCATTTCACATTTTTATATAGCGACGTTCCGTCTTCTTGAATCGTATTTTACTCCAGATTGACTCAATAAGTGGTCACCATTTGCTTTCACTTTTTAAGTGATAGATAGTTGCTGCTTACAATAAAGCTATTGATACAAGGATGTTAAATGGTAGCGTTAGGGTAATTTCTACGACGGTTAACATGTGTCATCTACATATGGCCGGTTTTTTTTTTAATATTTGTGTCACGTAACCATAGATACATATACTTGTAGCCATCACACCTCTTTCTTTGCATGATCAAATGCTAATTTTTACAGGCGTTTCGCTTTTTATGAGCAAAACAACGGGTGCTACTAGTGAAAGATGGGACTAATACTCCCCAGTATTTTGATGGGATTAAAGTTCCCCAGTATTTTAATGGGACTAATGCTCCCAGTATTTTGATTGGATTAATGTTCCCCAGTATTTAAGTGGGACTAACGTTCCCCATTATTTTGGTGGGACTAATGTTCCCCAGTATTTTGATGGGACTCATGTTCCCCAGTATTTTGATGGGACTAATGTTCCTCGATATTTTGATGGGACTCATGTTCCTCAGTATTTTAATGGGACTAATGTTACCTAGTATTTGGCTATCTTTGTACTGTATTCGTTGACTACGGTTTGTCTATTCGTATTTTTCTTTTGGTCACTTTTTTCTTCGTTGCATGTTTTTCGGTCGCACCCTTGTTATGCTCTCCGCTTTGTAATAACTGCACAGTATATAAATACTTGAGGAGAAAAGTGTATGTTTACTTCCACGATTTGCTGACAATAAGTCAAAACATAGACCTACGTTAAAAGTAAAATAAAAAAAAACGGAAAATTCAAAACGGATTGTCCTTTATCATATGGCAAAATCAAAAGCTCAAACACATCAAACGATGGTCCCTTATCATATGGCAAAATCAAAAGCTCAAACACATCAAACGATGGTCCCTTATCATATGGCAAAATCAAAATCTCAAACACATCAAACGATGGTCCCTTATCATATGGCAAAATCAAAAGCTCAAACACATCAAATGATGGTCCCTTATCATATGGCAAAATCAAAAGCTAAAACACATCAAACGATGGTCCCTTATCATATGGCAAAATTAAAAGCTCAAACACATCAAACGATGGTCCCTTATCATATGGCAAAATTAAAAGCTCATACACATCACTTAACGGTAAACAATTGTTATATTCGTGACTTGGAACAGGCATTTCCATGTATAGAAAAAGGTGGAAACGTATTTAGAGCTTTCAAACCAATGCAGTTTATCTTTTCAGTACATCGTGCGGAATTGTGTGAATATTTGTCACTGGGCTTTTTGCAAACTACAATCCAATCCATTTATCCATTTTTGAAATAGTAGTACATAATTTCATATTTCGATACCTTTCCGAATGCTTTTCCAAAACAAAACGTAAAAGAGATATTTTCACCAGATTTTGTTTTGCAAAGTGGACCTAAGTGTATAGGCCTTTGAGTAATTCGTTGGTATATAAAGACTGCATGTGCTACCTTTTCGTAAAATCATAGAATTATTTGTAACATAAAGATGTAAACAATTTTCTTGCTAGAAAAACTGCATACAGAAAAAAATGTCTATCGTTGATTTTTTTTCTTGCAATTTCTATATAACGTTTTTGAAGTTGTACACATTCGATTACAAATATAAAATGGGGGTTCAATATTAAGAAACATAGTATTTTTATTGCTGGATATCCCATTTCTCTCTTTACGGCGCTAAAAAAGAGGGACGAAAGATACCAGAGGGACAGTCAAACTCATAGATCGAAAACAAACTGACAACGCCATGGCCAAAAAAAAAAAGACAAACAGACAAATAATAGTACAGATGACACAACATAGAAAACCAAAGACTAAGCAACACGAACCCCACCAAAAACTGGGGATGATCTCAGGTGCTCCGGAAGGGTAAGCAGATCCTGCTCCACATGTGGCACCCGTCGTGTTGCTTATGTTATTACAAATCCGGTAAATAGTCTAATTCGGTAAGTCACATTCGTGATAAGGGAGGGTATTGTAGTTACGACATAAGGAACACTTCACAGATATCATCTGTGAAACGGTTATTCCATAACGGTCAACCAACTCGTGATGGCGTCCGTAAAATTTACGAAGGGATGACTTCAACTTCACCATTTGGAACTCTTGGTTTAATAGCTTCCTTGTGAGCAGCAATCCTCTATCAAGGAAATCATGATAGGAAACACAATTACATCCCAAAATATTTTAGATGCAATACCATCGTACATCAAAATTGAATAATACAGATAAACCTCTGTAAAGATGGTTAATAGACGTCTTTAATAAATTGTTTATTACTTGTGCTCTGTACATAAAAACTGATCCAACAGAGTTATGAGGAAGAACGACTGAGATTGACACTATACAAGTTTTACGGTCACCATCACGAATTGGTTGACCGATACGATTTGTCGGTGTCTCCACTCACTATCGACATGCTATCGCGGTCTTAGATCTTGAAATACCAGTAAAAGAGCGACGAAAGATACCAGAGGGACATTCAAACTCAAAATCGAAAAAAAACTGACAACGCCGTGGCTTAAAAAGAAAGAGACCAACAAACAAACAATAGTGCACAAAACACAACATAGAAAACGAAAGACTGAGCAACACGAACCCCACCAAAAACTGGGGGTGATCTCAGATGCTCAGGAATGGTAAGCAGATCCTGATCCACATGTGGCACTCGTCGTGTTGCTCATGTTAGTACAAACCCGGTAATAAGTCTAATTCGGTTGGTCACATTCGGGAAAAGGGGGACGGATTGTGGTTACGACATTAGTAAAGTAGTCTGATATGTAACTTTACCGATTGTTTTCTATTACTGATTATGACATTTTGACTGAGTGTGAATTCGGATAGCAGGTAATAAAATTGAGAATGGAAATTGGGAATGTGTCAAAGAGACAACAACCCGACCATAAAGCAGACAACAGCCGAAGGCCACCAATGGGTCTTCAATGCAGCGAGAAACTCCCGCACCCGAAGGCGTCCTTCAGCTGGCCCCTAAACAAATATGTATACTAGTTCAGTGATAATGGACGTCATACTAAACTCCAAATTATACACAGGAAACTAAAATTAAAAATGATACAAGACTAACAAAGGCCAGAGGCTCCTGACTTGGGACAGGCGCAAAAATGCGGCGGGGTTAAACATGTTTTTTTGAGATCTCAACCCTCCCCCTATACATCTAGCCAATGTAGAAAAAACAAACGCACAACAGTACGTACAGTCAAACTCAGTATAAGAGAAGTCAGAGTCCGATGTCAGAATAGGAAACAAAAGAAAATAAACAAAATGACAATAATTCATAAAAAACAACAGACTACTAGCAGTTACTGACATGCCAGCTCCAGACCTCAATTAAACTGATTAAAAGATTATGTCTTCATCATATGAATATCAGGCATGCATAGCAGATGACGCTTACGTACCTTGACACAGCACCGGGTCTCGCTTATTTTGAATTTGATTCGATTCCCTCGGTTTTTTCTTTGTTACCTTAATTTGTCTCAATTTGCGAGATTTTAATATCAGTAAACTACAGGCGCCTTAATTAATGTCAGTAAAGTATGTTATCTAGGTCAAAAGAACATAAAACAAACCTGTAGCTGCTCCAATTACACCTGCAATAGCTGGCGGAACACCCATCAATAAAGCTAAGACAGCGCTGACTAATACTGAATCTCTTGCAATTCTAGTGGTTTTACATGCATGTACACGCTGATAGAATCCCTGAAGTATTGAAATATAATAAAGAAGTTACATGTTTTCTATAAAGATTACTAATAATTTGTTAAATTGTATTATCGTTGATCAGTATTAACTATCCAATTAGGATATTTTCTAATTGCACCAGTTACCATTTTCCTTCCTCGTTGAATCATACAAGACATTATGCTATTCAAAATTTCAAATAATGTAATGTAATTACATAGAAGACGTATACATTTCAATATCTTTTTTAACTAATAAATAACGTCATTAACAACACATGATACACTATTCGGCATAATAACATCATACACCATTACGCATTGCAGCATATACCATGACGCATTGCAGCATACACCATTACGCATTGTAGCATTTACCATTGCGCATTACAGCATACACCGTTACGCATTCCAGCATACATTGTTAAGCATTGCAGCATACACTGTTACGCATTGCAGCATATACCCTGACGCATTGCAACATACACCATAACGCATTGTAGCATACACCATTACGCATTGCATCAAAAACCATTACGCATTGTTGTATACACTGTTACGCATTGTAGCATATACAATGACGCATTGCAACATACAACATTACGCATTGTATTTTATACCATTACGCATTCCAGGATACACCATTACGCATTCCAGGATACACAATTACGCATTCCAGCATATACCATTACGCATTCCAGCATACACCATTACGCATTGAAGCATATACCATTACGCATTGTATTTTATACTATTACACATTCCAGGATACACCATTACGCATAACATCATACACCATTACGCATTGCAGCATACACCATTACGCATTACAGCATATACCATTACGCATTCCAGCATACATCATTACGCATTACAGCATACACCATTTTGCATTGTAGCATTCACCATTACGCATTGCAGCATACACCATAACGCATTGCAGCATACACCATTACGCATTGGACGCACGATACACCATTCTTCAATTACACAATTAACGTTTTATTGGGAACGTTTGGTCACAAATCTCTTGAAGTTTTTTATGCATCCTCGGCTTTCAATTATTTGGTTTTACCGTTCAAAATAAAACTTAACCCAGAAAAGGTCTTTAGACGGACCAAACAAAAATGTCAATTTCATTCTACAACATTTAATGGCTTTATCTATGAAAATTTATCAGGCTTTACCGGTAAAATACTGGATTTGGTGTTTCGAGCAGAAGGTTTGCACTCCTGAGTACTGATATAATTGTAATGAATGTAATGCCAGTTTACCTTGTCTTTTAGTTCCTTAGTTTTCCATTACATTTGTCTTTAGAATGATGCACTTCTTACCTGCCAAGTGAAACATCCCCCAATTGTCAGTAACCACAAATCTATATATACACCTATTTGCCGTGGCTCCAACGATCCTTTCCATTTGTCTTTTATTCTGCTCATATCAACAGCAGGATTCGTCCAAGCAAATGGAATTATTAAAATCTGGAAATATTTGAATAGATTAAATTTATAAAACATTATTCGTTTATTGTCAAAAAGACAGCATGCACCCCATACCCTTCCTTTCAGACAGGCGTTTATTTCTGTGTATCTTATTTGTTTTTCGTTCATTTTTTGTACACAAATTAGGCCGTTAGCTTTTCTCGTTTGAGTTGTTTTACATTTGTCATTTCGGGGTCTTTTATAACTGACTATGCGGTATGGGTTTTGTGTATTGTTAAAGGCCGTACAGTGACCTATAAATGTTAATTTCTGTGTCCGTTGGTCTCTTATGAAGAGTTGTCTCATTTGCAATCATACCACATCTTCTTTTTTATATGTACAGGTGAACATACATGAATGTATAGCATGATTCTTACACAAATTTAAATAAATATAAAGCAATTAACAAATTATACGATAAGAAAGAATACTCGTAGTTTCTGAGGTACTTAACTTCTGATATGAAATAATACTGCCCTACACTGATGAGTTTGTTGTCTCGTGGACATCATGCTGAAGGCTTGTCATCAATTTGATACATTTCTTAATAAATGAACTTACACACATTCAACTAACAGAGATAAGTATATAGATGTCACGAATAGGCTATAATGAATGTATAAAAGTGATTTTTACACAATGAGCTATACATACCAATCCAAGTGACATAAGAAAAAATTGTGCTATATCTGTATACGCTACAGAATATAATCCTCCAAAAAATGTATAAAACACTGCTACACAGGCAGACACTACTACAGCCGTCGACATATCTATACCAAGTATTATATGTAAGGTCGTACCTATCCATGAAAACAAGATACAGAAAAATATATAAAACAATGCCACAAGCCGCTACTACAGACACTACTACAGCCGTCGACATATCTATACCAAGTATTATATGTAAGGTCGTACCTATCAATGAAAACAAGATACAGAAAAATATATAAAACACTGCCACAGGTAGCCACTACTACAGCCGTCGACATATCTATACCAAGTGTTATATGTAACGTCGTACCTGTCAATAAAAAAAGATACAGAAATGATGAATAAAACACTGCCACACACTCAGGCAGACACTACTACAGCCATCAATTCGCCGATTCTTATTTGCATAAATACATTATTCAGAAATGCTAGAAACTTAAAAGTTTGTAAGTCGACAAAGCATGATTTAAATGTAAAAAGTAAAATAACAAAAATACCGAACTCCAAGGGAAATTCAAATCGGAAAGTCCCTTATCAAATGGCAAAATCAAAAGCTCAAATACATCAAACGAATGGAAAACTGTCATATTCCTGACTTGGTGCAGGCATTTCCTCATGTAGAAAATGGTGGATTAAACCTCTCACTCTGGCATATAGACCATTTTTAAAGCACATACTCAAAAATGAATGACAAGAATACAAAAAATGACCACAGCACAACAACACAATGGTGGGATGTATAAGTACCGAGCCGCGCCATATTAAAGGTTATACCAAAAATGGACTAAACAATAAAGGTTGATAAACTACAAAGACAAATAAAAGAGCACTATAACATGTATAACACGTAATTAAGATGATAAACAACGTCAGTACCAAGAATCTATACTTCAAGACCATCATTCATTATTTTTGAAGTTGATACGGAATATTTATGAACAAGGTCTTGGTATCTTTCGATGAACTTTTTTAGAAAAAGGACGAGACATTCTTTGAAATAACCCTGGTTTATCAACCTTCTGCTCAGAGACTGGTGACGTTTTATAAAGTCTGAGTAGCAGCTGCAAGCTCCTGAATACCGAATGAGTTGGGAAATGTATATATATCCCATATGCAGGTGAAGTTGGTTTATTGCTACTAAGGTGGAAGTGTCATCTGAACTTTTTCATTTTCTATTTGGCTCTTTTCACAATTTCAGTACTAGTATATCAAGGGACACATGTGAATAGAAAACTTGAAATTAACACACTGTAAACTAAGTAATTTTTCTCAGATACTTTTTCGCGTTAAGTTCATTCTAACCGATATTGCGGCGATTTATTTTTGCGATTTCCTTAACTTGTTCGTGTATTCAAAAAAAGAGAAGATCCGGGTTTTCCGAAGATTTATATTAACAACATTTCGTTCCTAGATCTAAAAACTTGTGTAGTTTTATGCGTATACCTATACCTAAAGCAGATAATATTGCAGATTCCCAAAACACATCCGCCAATAGCTCGTTGAAAAAAAGTAGTCCACCAATTCTCTTTCCATATTTGTCTTGTAATATGTCGAATAGTGTTGTATACTTCTTTTCTCTTGCTTTAGGAACATAAACCAATGCAGCTTAAAATAGACAAGAAGTAAAGATATATATGTCGATGTTGTGACGAGGTGCGAGGATTGTAGATCTTGAGATATATAATGCTGTTGAAAGGAAAAAAAATCATTTCTGGGTATCGATACATATCATATCCAACTATAGCAGTCATCACGTGACATTGGCGACGTCACACATCACCCGTATCATGCCCAAGTAAAATGTATAGAAATGCACAGGGCTTTCAGGAATCGATAAAATAAATTACTTTAAGTTCATGATAAAAAAAGTGTGGAAATATATAGTAATTCCTCATATATTTAGAAATATATTTATGCCTTTTGGAAAAGTTTAAATTTTGGTCTTCTCCCTTCCAAATGCTTTTGAAAATTTGTCTTGTTGCCTCGATAATTCACACTGTTAAATCATCCAACTCCGATAAATATTGGATTTTCTGTCGTGTTAAACCTAAAATTGCGATTTAAACAAAACAGATGGAAAAATTGTGGAGATATGTGCTTATTACTATATTCATAAATATTTGAAATATCGTACATGCAATAGTTTAATTTTTTATTACGTCCCTTCCAAATTGATTTGAAAATTAGCTATTTTCAGAAAATCCGGTATTATTTTTCAAGATGGCGACCACATTGACAGCGTGGGCCGACTTGGAAAAAATATATTTTGTAAGATTGTTACAATGAAAATCAAATAACTGTTGGATGCTCGCGTTTTCAGTCATTGTCTTACCTTAAAGCAGCATAGAATCAAACATTGGTTCCTTTTGATAAAGCTGATACATGCTGTTGTTTTTTTATAAAAATTTTAAAAAATGGCGACCAAATAATTTTCAAACGTAGACGATGTTCGACACTTATTTTGTCCATGCAAATAATTCAATTTAATTTCACTGTTTATACTGCAATTAAATATGACACGTTATTGTCACTATAATGATAGCCAAGGACATAGCTAGACTAAGGAGATATTAAGTCATAACATCAACATAATCAAAGAAAACAACATGGCACCTAATTACGATGTAAGTTTTGACAATACCTATGTAGATGTATGTTTTGACAATACCTATGTTGATTAGTGTTGTCAGATTCTCAATGAAATTCATTACGATATTATTTTATATTTATAAAAGAAGACCTCGAATGGATATTAACCGAAGTGAAATAACTCTATTTTTCAATTTTCTTTAAACCATTCATCGGGTAACTAGTAAAATTTACATAATCCTAATTAAACCAGTAACATGCAGAGTTATCGAACGTAATTATGACTGGAATAGTTGCATATGATGGCATCAACGTCTTTCTACTTGACCTTTAGTCTTTCTGTGTTCTATATCTATTTTTATTATCAAAGTTTTTGAATTCCACAGTAAAAATATCACGTCAGATTCCTTCTGTTCATTAGCTAACAAGTCCAAACATTTATGAAAATAATGAGATTTGCAACAAATGGTTTACTTTTTATATTTTGAAATTGCCATAACAACTGTTTTGGATTAGATTTCGGAAAATCATTGAAACTCTACAAATTTTTGTGAAATCAAAGATCATTTCGCATACTGCCAATTAAAAAAAATTAAAAAATCAGTTTCATGATGGAGAAAACTTGAATGCAAGAATGAATTCTTAATTTGATTTGTCAAGAACATGTTTAATCTCTTTTTTAAATTAAACTACATAGCTGAATTGTTAATGTAGAAAAATTAAGGCAAGGAGTCCTTAAATTTATGGTTCCCGGTGAGTAAAAAAAATAATTTTAACACGTTCATAAACAAAATAACATAACATTAAAAAAACCTTTTTTTACTCTCCTACCTATAATGATTCCTATGGTAAAGCCAACAGGTGCAACACACCAAATTAATCCGTCTCTACCCATAACTTCCGCTGTTCCGTTAATGTAGGCACCTCCAACCAGTGTCGCTGTAAATAGTACATAATTAAAAACAAGTATGGCTTATTATTTTTATTACCAAAAAAGTTATGTTGTCATCATCATCCTATTTCTTTTACAAGCACAGTGAAAAGATCTTTTCGAAATATTTGTATATCTATACTACTAAAGGAAGAGACCGATTTCATTGAGCCGCAACTCCTCTGAAACCATACAAAGTCGTAAATATTTGTGATATGACGTATAAATGTAGTGTTTTGTACTTCCTAAATTAGTCTTTGAAACAATCTTTTTTCCACAGAAAACGCTATTTTTTTAGAAAATATCCAAATCGGAGACCATTATCGATCCGTGTCTTATACGCTTTCGCGCATGCTCAGTCGACGTACTACCCGACAACTCGGCCCACGGCCAACTCGCACCACTCAAACACTCTCACTAATTATTACAACTTGCATCACTTTATCAAACTCGCACCACCCAAAAAAAAAAGAAATATAACAAACTCGAAGAAATGTGTTTAATCCTTAGATTGTTTTCTTCTTCTCTTCGTAAATTCCTCCTTTCTCGGAGCACCCGTGTCACACAGAGACAGAACTCGCACAACTCGGAAAAAAAACTACACACTCGCACCACTGAAGAAATGTTTTAAATTATCAGAGAGTTCTAGATTGTCTTCTTCTTCTCTGAGTTATTTCCTCCGTTCTTGGAGCAACTGTATCATACAGAGACAGAACTTGACTCGCTCCTTTCGAAAAAAAAAATACTACAAACTAGCACTACTGAGAAATATTTTAATCATCAGTGTTCTATGTTGTCCTCTTCTTCTCTGAGTTATTTCCTCCGTTTAAGGAGCACCTGTGTAACACCGAGACAGAAGCTACTAATTGGACATTCAAACTCCTTTGGAAGAAGAACTGACAAACTAATAAGAACTATCAACATAATGCATCAGTGCATAAAAACAGTTTGAGAAACACGAACCCAAGCTGTGTATCACCATAAACATTTCAAGTAGTCTTCAAGCCGCGCTCGCGAGGGTTTTTTCTAGTGGTTATATTTAATCTTAGATCAATAACTTTTTGTCTACGCTTTAACTTGGCTTCCATCAAGGTGACTATACTGGTAATTTAATTATTGAAATACATCATGAAATTATCACTTATATGGAAAGGGAAAGGTATATTTGGTTAGAAAAAGCTAGAATGTTTTAGTATTGTAAATCTTCGAAAGAAAAAGCTACTTTTGTCTTTTGCCTACAAAAAAAATCATTTGTCAATACATCAAAAATATTCTTTATAAACATATATATCACCTGTATACGTCATGACCGCAACAAAAAATCCCAGATTTCGTCCAGCCAATAGCAATTCATCTGTATCGCCTGTCTTGTTCTTCTTTCTGCCAGCGATTAGTCCAATAACAAGGATAAGGAGGTAGAAGACAATAATGCCTATTAGTCCGGGTATGTGTATTGCCATTGTCCTTCGGACTGAAACACAGAACTTTGCAGTGGTCAACTTACAAAATGATACAAACGTTTGAAAAGTTACAAAGAGATAAATACAGGTACATATTAAGTAGGTAAAATGTTACGAAGTGGTAGATACCAAGACCAAAGGCTAAAGGTTATCAATCTAACACTGTAGTAAGATCGTTGAATATTTTCTTTATCGATACTGATTTTAACATTGAGTTTATTTTGCTAGTGTGAAGCTAGCCGTCGATAACAGCCGGCGTTAATATTCATTAAGCCTGCCTTCAATAATATTCATGAGCCGTCAATAATGTTCATGAGATGACTTGCGTTCGATTGTTTTGGACCATTTTTTGGCATTTTACCTGTATGCAATGCTTATGAAATTCACATCACTCCTTCACGCCCAAACTCCTATTTTGTGAATACTTGTGGACTTTGTAGTGATTCGGCAAGGAAGGGGGCTATGGACCACTCAAAGTTCCCAGCTGGTCTGGAAAGTTAAGTAGGTCCTGCTTTTTGCAAAACACCCGTAGTGTTTCTCACGAAGGTCATTTTCAAATAAAAGGAGAGGTTTCTACGACAACGGTAGAAGGTCATTTGACACAGATACCCCAGGTGAATTAATAGTCTTTTGGACGAACGGACAATGGGAATACGAAATTGAACGGCCACTTTTAAGTCTTGACTTATAAGTAAGGGATATAAATCTAAGATGTTTTCAAGGTGAGTGTTTTGTGCCTGTATTATTATATGTTTATACTGCATGTAAGACTTAAAGTATAGTTAATATCCAAAGTCCATATATCTATTTTTTGCCAAGGCAAATGATCGCAGAACTCTCTCGGTGTCGATATCCATTTCTCTGTGAACATGTATGAGCGCCAACGAAGATAGTCTGTCCTGTACCATGGTTGAACGGAGATAAGTTTTCAGTCGCCGTAATGCACTAAATGACCGTTCAGTAGTTGATGTAGTTACTGGCATTGTAACTAGGATTGAGAAGATTGCAAATATTGAAGGATATAGTTCCTTACTAGTCACTGCTAGAGACTTCATCACAGATTTGGGCTTCTCTATAACATCTGGACCCAACCAGCGTCTCTGCCATCTCATTACCTCAGAGTTGAAGTTTCCTTGATTGTCTGTCAAGTCGTGTCTATATGTTTCGTATAGTTTGTCTATACACTCTGCTGTCAAAGATTCCAAAAGTGCAGGTATAAGGTTCTGGCCTTGAAAATGGTCAGAGTTATCCAGTAAACGTCCTGTGAGTTCTTCAATGAAATAGTCAAGAAAGGGGGAAAACAAGGCTCGCTTCCAATACTGACTTGGAGTGTCAGCTGGATAGTTAGCCCAGTCGACCTGTCTTCCGACTCTTCTTGTCATGGACTGTAGGACCTCAATTATGTCAACCATCGTAACCGCCTGATCAAAAAGTGCATCCCAAACAGAGTCGTCGTTTCGTTCGTCTGATACTTGATCAATTATCAGTTTACACTCCCGGACAGCTTCTACCAAATCACAACTCTTACTTTGTAGAAAAGTAGTTAGATGCACAATGCTTTGTAAAATGTGCTCCGTTGTTACTAATCCAATGATAAATTCAAATCTTGATATTGTAGCTAAGAACTGGCTGGCCTTGTCGTCACCATCTTGCCGCAAATGTTCAAGGGCACTGACGATAACAGGGAAAGCTACCCTAAATGTGTACAAGGAATCAGCGCGACTCGTCCAACGTGTTTCACACAACGTTCTTAGTTTGCTTCTCCCGTCAAGCTCCTCTTTGGTTAAGATGTCAGCTTCTAGCTCATTGTAAAAAGCCTCCATCTTTTTTGCAGAGTAGTCAAAAGAGAACACAATTTCCTGGCCTGTGCTCATGGTGGTTCGAACGCTTGCATCTTTGCAACTGTGGACGATTGCCAGGTTTAAACAATGACTCTTACAATGGACATAAGATGCCTAGGGAAAACTTCACCTCACATGGGCTTGCACACCCTGGTGTTTTCCAGACATATTAGCTGCTCCGTCATACTCTTGAGCACGCATTTTATCTCCATCTATCTCGTATTCATCTATTATATCTAAAAATAGAGTAGCAAGGGCTTGACCTCGTATACTATGAGCATGTAGAAACCCAACGAATTCTTCATGGACTTCCAACCTATTGTCTGTACGATCCAGGAAACGTAGGCAAAGAGAAACTTGTTCCTTTGTGGAAGTGTCGGTTGCTTCGTCTGCAAGAATGGCGAAGTAATCACTTCTATTACAATCGCGCATGATATTTTCTCTTATTTGTCTACAATGAATTTGAGTATTTCATTTTGGATATCAGGAGATGTGTATATTACCTTTGCATTGGTCGGTTGTGTTAGATGTTTTAACAGAACCTCATCTTCTGAGACAGCATAATTTAATACGGCCATAAAATTACTGCGTTCCTCTGTGTTACCTCAGTCTAACAGCTATATTTTGCCTGCCACACAAGATTATGTTCTCAATTAATCTTGTCATAATATGTCTATTTTTTCTTATCTGAAGATCTCTACTGGAAGTGAGGGTATCACTGATTGATGGTTTTTCATTACGTATTACTCTAAGGAAATTGTCCGTCATTTCGACAATAGATATAAGAAGATGTGGTATGAGTGCCAATGAGACAACTCTCCATCCAAGTCTCCAATTAACAAAATGACTAGAATTGCTCCTTTCATGGCGTTTGAAATATCCTGAAATATTGTTCCAATCGGTGACAGGTCTGATAAAAGTCTTTTCCTTAGAATCATGTCTTCCAAATTAAACACAAGGAGCACAATACAGATAATCTTCAGATACCGAATATCTCAGCCATTGGTGTTCTTTGAACCATACATTCTGTACCTTCCTCTTCACTCCGTTTTTCATAACTCTACAAAATTAACGAGATTTGAAAATCTAAAGTAACATTAGTGGGCCAAAATATTCGTTTGTTTCAAAAAAACAAGAAATAGTAAAGTTATTCAAATACTACTATACTAGGGATATAATTAACGACCTTGTATGCAAATACAGGCATTACCATTACACGGTCACGAGGTTTCGTGTTGGGGAAGCCCGTGGTAATTGTATTTCGGTACTTATACGAACGTATATTCTAATGTTTCATTAACAATTTGGATTTGGAAATTCAGAACTTTTTCTGTAACTACCAGTAGATGTAGTTTTACAAACTAGAAATACAGTGAACAATGCTCACTAAAAGATACCCCTACCCACATGATACAAAAAACAAAATAGGAGGTGCACAATGTATAATGTACAATTATATGGCTAATATTCTGAGAAAGTTTCAGTAATTCTGATTCGGCGTTAAGAAGGAGTTGCAGATACAAAATGGGTACCCTCTAATTACAGGCAAAGTCCGTGATATGCTTCAGGAAACCCCAAAAAAATGTTGATCGAAAAACAAAATAGGAGGTGCAAATTTCTCAAAATTCTGTTGACTGGTTTAGGCGGAGTTGCGGATACAAAAGTGTGACGGGAGAACGAACGGACAGACAAACGGACGGACGAATGAACAGACGGACGAATTCCCCATCACAATATACCTCCTACTTTTCAAGTGGTGGGTATAAAAATGTTTGAATCACCATTGATCCAAATAAAACACTTATATGGGGGTGGTAAAGGTTTTTGTTTGTGCCACGTCCGTTTTTTATGTTCTGTTGTTTGACGTTCAGTCGCGCAAGACTTATATTTTGCAAACAAAATGTTTCCCGTTCATCCCGTGAATGGCATTTTGTTTTATTTAACGTTCTTCCGATCGTGTATGTACACCCCCCCCCCCCCTTTTCCATTGTATCACCCTCTTGTGAAGACCTCTGTGTTCATGTGGAAAATGTAAATTCTTGGTATATGTAGACCCGAAGCCGACTACAGGAAAGAGTTGGGTTAATATATCTCAACATCTAAAAGTCAAATTGTTTTTTTCATATTCTAATTACCTAGATGAGAAATAGTAGTGTCCATACGAGTTTGGCTCCAATTCATGCTGCAATAGCTAGGTTGATTTTTGTTTCATGTTTTGCCAACTCATCATTTGTCAGGTTAAACATATCAGGATAAGGGGGGGTCAAACAATGTTATTTTCTTTGCAGTAACGTCTTGTAAACTCGACGTCTAAAATGGCCCATAGCACTTATGTGCTCGTACGGGTCTAGGGCATAAGTGCTATGGGCCATTTTAGAGGCAATGCCTACCTCTACCTCTGGTATAATGGCCCACGTGGAGAATCTCTTAGTTTGACTAGCCGGCAATAGTTAAACCGGGCTACACCCTTCCACTTTTAACCATCTGCTGACAAACTCGTACGGGTAAAGGGCATAAGTGCTATGGTCCATTTTAGAGGCAATGTCTACCTCTACCTATAAACATGATAAACCAGGGTTACCCCCCCCCCCCCACCACCACCACCACCACCACCACCACCATCACCACCACCATCACCACCCTTTGCTGACGAAGGGGGAATACTGTGGTATATCACCCTAGTCGAATTAGGCTACACCCTCCCAGTTTTAACCATCTGCTGACAAAACTCGTACGGGTCTAGCTAGGGCTTAAGTGCTATGGCCCATTTTAGTGGCAATGCCTACTTCTACCTCTGGTATAATGGCTCACGTGGAGAATCTCTTAGTTTGGCAAGCCGGCAATAGTTTATTTAGACTTCGTGATATACCGGGGTACACCCTCTCCATTTTAACCCTCTGACAAACTCGTACGGGTCTAGGGCATAAGTGCTATGGGCCATTGTGGAGAATCTCTTAGTTTGGCCAGCCGGCAATAGTTTATTTCGACTTCGTGCTATACCCCTACCCTTTGCTGGCAAACTCGTAGAATGGAATGGCCTGATTGATAATGTTGAGATTAATGACTCTGATTGATCTCCGTAGTTTTGAAAAATGATACATCATGAAATAGTAACTGATAGTTTTTATTTTTCTATGTTTTTCATTAACTATAAATCTT